GTACACAAATCGTTCTCTTTTTTTTTTCTTTTGGAGCTTGAATAATCTAAAACAAATACTTTTGAGGCATGCGGTCCTAACTCAACGTACAACCTTACTAACCTCTACTATGACACCACCCCCAACTTAGGCTTTTAGCCTCATTCTCAATGTTCAAGGAGGTACGGGTTCAAGAGAGGGGATTATTTTACAAAAAAAGGGAAAGGTTTGTAATGAGTTGGCCAAAGAAAAGGCTTAAAGGCTCAAATTAGGTACTAGTGATATTATTTATGTACAGGTCGGCTTGAGGCTACAGAGGTTTAGCAATTAAGACAAAGAATGCCTAAGATCATCCCTCCAACCAAACATACTATCATTAGCATTGAAAGACCAACCGGGCAAGTTCTGGATGATAGAAGTACACACAAGAATTATATACACACAGGGAACTCACACTCACATGGCACATGAACTGTTTCACTCGCATAGTTTGACGCTTTCGAGTCAACACTTGGCACTCAACGCTTTCATCATAGGCACATGTTCACACAATTGATCTTTTTTTTTTATAAACATGCGGAAGGGTATATGCTATGTACAGACACACATGCTTGATACTAGGCAATTAAACCAAACCAGTCAATATGATTCATCTTACTCTCCTGGTTCTACTATTACACCCTTGGAAAAGAACCGTGGGAAAAAAACAAGGGGAATTGATTACTAATTGCTATTTATGGACACTACTATGAACACAAAGCACTTATGAACACTAAACAAACACTACTATTAAAATATACACATTTCATAAACAACTTATGTATCAAAGTCATACTAATATATACAGAATACAAAATACTCATAAGTACAAGAGTTTGCAATTTCCAATATCACAAAAATATACAAAAATCTACAATGCTACCCTCCACTCCCAACTAAAAAGCATGCATTGTCCCTAATGCATAAAAATAAAGAGATGAGTTTGAGGGGGGTTCCCTGGGGCACACAAAGTGCTATGGGAGTTAGTAGCTGGCTGGGTGCTGGAGGGGTCACCCTCGGATGTGGCAGCTGGGACCGAAGGCAGTACGGTCTGAGATGTGGCCTCCTCTGATGGAATAGTGCCCTCAGGAAGGCTCATAGCAGGAATGGGTACTGGAGCTGGAGCTAGCGCTGGAGCTGGAGCTGGTGGTGGAGCCTGAGAGCTGCTGGACGCACCCACTGATGCTGGGGTCGCTAAAGGAGTTGTAGGAGTAGCCATGTCTACTAGAGACCGCTGGATCGCTGTCTGCATATCTTCCTGTTCCATCTCTGCAACAGCAGCCTCCTCAATGACAACATTCTCGACAGAGGCATCCGCAATCTTCTTCCCTTTATCTTGAGGACCATCATCGCGGGAATACCCCGAGCTTTCCTCATCCTCGCTCCCATCTTCCTCCTCATTTTCTGATTTACTAGAACCTCTGGACTCCTCCCCAGAAGGGATCTCAATATGTGCTGGAGGAGGGGCAGTCTCAGTTATTAGCGCAGAGAAATCAAGACTCAAGTCCGGAGGTACTGTGCCTGTAGCCTGGTCACCGTCAGTGGGAAGGAAGGATGACAGATCGAACTCCAAGTTTTGCATCTTTTGAAGTTCAGTCTTCATAGAAGCGACCTCCTCCTTGAGGCCATGCAATCCACTAACTTCCCCCCGCTCTATCTTCTCCATCCGCAACTCAAGTTGCTGCAACCGATCCTCATACGTTGATTATCGCTGCTGAAGGTCTGTCACTGAGGCTTGCAGCGGAGTAAGGGCTTGTTTTATGAGAGTCGGCAAAGTCTTCAAAAGCTGGTCTACCTTGGCATTGGCGTGCTGAGCCTATAGACCAAGCTTTGAGACAGCAGGGATGGCCGTACCGGGCTGGACAGTGGTGGATTTAGGAGCAGGCTCGGAGGTGGAAGATGCTGCCACAGTAACCTGAGGGGTTACAGTGGGCTGGGAACCGGAAGGCTCTTCTGTAGGCTGTTCCTGAACTGGAATGACCGGTGGGATAACAACATCACTAAGTTTTGTGATATCAATGACCTGTGTTTCCTTCCCGATTTTGTCTTTGCGCTCATCTACAGGAACTTTCTTGGCTTTGCACAGGGTTGTGATTAAAGAAGGGAACGGGAGTGAAGTAGCAGACTGTGTTGCCCGAATCCCTATCTCTTGGAATATCACAGCTCCAACATCTATTTTGATACCACTCATGATGCAGGCAATGAGAAGCGCCTTCTCAATAGATATTTCAATTTCGTTTCGAGTCGGTATCAATCTAGAGGTGAGGAAACTGAGCCAGAAATGACCCTCTCTTGAAAAACTTTCCTTGTAAATCTTCTGCCCAAGGTTGATCCAGGCAGGGTCCCCTTTGCGATCACTGAGGCAATCCACCCTCGCTCGCTCTCTTTCTTCGCCAATTTTTCGTCATACTCTGCTGTGCCTGGACTCCAGTCTGGGACATATACTTTGTTTATGGCACCTATGTGGCAGAAAACCGTTTGCCCTCGAACAAGCACTTCATTAGTGAACACTCTGTTGCGTTTGTGGTGCTTGGTCCTCGAGGCCCCATACGAAGCGTAAAACTCGCGAACAAGAGACTCGTTGTATTCAGCCGGTGGCTCCGTGAAAGACTCCCATTTTCTCTTCTTGATGTTCTCTAAGATGTGGGGATAGTTTTCTTTCAACCCATTCAAGCACAGTTGCTTCTCGGGTAGGAGTTTCTGCTTGATGAGCCCTTCTTTATACCTTTCCCTGGACCCCTCTACTCCCCAACGGAGGTGGAAGTCATTTTCGTGCTTCCTCCTTGCTTCAACCCATAGGTCAACCTCGGGTAAGGGCACCTCCTCATCAGACTGGGAGGAGCGTGGTTCTTCAGACTCCGTCCTTGGTCGCTTTGATTTTTGCTTGGACTGACTGGAGGATGGCCTTGTTAGGGCATGCTTTTGTTTGGGAGCCATATCTGCACAAGGATGAAATGTGAGTGACAACAGAAGCAAAGTGGAAGAAAACACAGAAGAATTAAAAGAAAAAGCTCAAAATGCGGTGCGCTCTGCGGTCGCAAAACCACAATGCGGACCGCATAGGCATCGCATAACTGATGGCCTCAAAGTGTGTTCAATCTGCGGTGGATTATGCGGTCGCATAAACACTATGCGGACCGCATAACCATCGCAGACTGGACTTCCCCAAAACATGTATCACCAAATGCAATCGCATATCTCACCGCAAAGTAGAGAATGTGATCGCAGAATGGCCGCAAAATGCAAGGCTCAGCAACTGGGACTTCTGTTCAAGTCTGCGGTAGGTTTGCGGACCGCATGTCAACTCTGCGACCGCAGACCCACCGCATTTTACCATCCCCAACAGCAAGGCTGGGGTTCAATTGTGCGGTCAAAATGAGGACCGCATTGCAATTATGTGACCGCATAATGGCCGCATTTCACCATCGTCCTCAGAGCACCTAGGGTTTGTTTCTGCGGCCGAAATGCGGACCGCATTTTAAACATGCGGACCGCAGACGTCGTCTTCTACATAGGTTACCCTAGCTTACAACAATCCTATTTTTGCTCTACCCCTTACCCCCAAATTATGCTCATCCCAAAGCGACCGACATTACAGGGAAACAACTACACAAACATCTACACAATTTTGCACATGAATAAACCAACGAAAAACTCAGAAACTACAATGCAACACAAAAAAAAAATAAAATGAGGGAGAAACGGGTGCATACCAGTGAAGTTTTGATGGGTGGGACACTGAGTGTGAAAATTTTGAGTCCTTTGTTTGAGTCTCGATGACTGTTCGTGTTCTCCCCCTCTTTTCTGTGTTTGTTATTTTTTTTCGTTTTGTATTTTTTTTGTATTTTTTTGTTTTGTTTTGTTTCAAGTGAGTGAGAGACGAGAGAGAATGCGACTTACCTTGTCCATTCTGCGGAGGAAGGGGACACCGCATAACACATAATGCGACCGCATATGTGTTATGCGGTGAAGTTAAAGAGCAAACTGAGAGGAGGCAAATGCGGTGCACAATGCGGTCGCATAAGTGCAATGCGGTCCGCAGAGTGCACCAACTCATCGCAATTTTACCCCCAATTTTCACCAAACCTTCTGCTTGTATTTGCGATCAAGATGCGGTCCGCATAGTGATAATGCGACCGCATCTGTGCAGCAGACTTCACATGGTGGTTTTTCTTCCCTTTCTTATGCATCCCTACCAAGTGTTGTGATCTCTTGAACCCCCTGCACTCTAACATACACTTTAAATTGCTCAAATAAATCTATCTAACAAAGATTGAAAATTCAAAGAACAAAAGAGTGTTACCACACATGGGTTGCCTCCCATGAAGCGCTTGATTTAACGTCGTGGCACAAAGTTGATCTTCCTTTGATTTCACTCAATGGTCGGGCATGGACCATCTTTGAGAGCCAGCTGCTCCACCAAATGTTTTTCTCCATCAGTGCCCAAGTAATGCTTGATGCGTTGGCCATTTACCTTGAATGTCCGGGACCCATCTGTTGCTTCTAATTCCACCGCTCCATAAGGAGATACATTTACCACCTTGAATGGGCCAGACCATTTTGATTTAAGCTTGCCCAGAAACAATTTGAGCCTCGGACCAAATCACCCGCCTTGAACTCTCTTTTCAAGATCTTCTTGTCATGGAAAAACTTCATCCGTTCTTTGTAAACAGCTGCACTTTCATAAGCATGGAACCGGAATTCCTCCATTTCATTGAGTTGTGTTAACCTCAAATTTGCAGCTTTAGCCCAGTGTAAGTTCAGCCTTTTTAATGCCCACATCGCTTTGTGTTCCAACTCCACGGGTAGATGACATGCTACCAAAGACTAACCGATAAGGAGAAGTACCAATAGGAGTCTTGTATACCGTGCGATATACCCATAATGCATCATCTAGCTTCCTTGACCAGTCGGTCCTATTAGTGTTAACAGTTTTTGCTAGAATGTTCTTAATCTCTCGATTGGAAACCTCAACTTGACCACTAGATTTGGGGATGATAAGTTGTGGCCACCTTGTGCTTTACGCCATGCTTTTCTAGCAGCCCCGTGAAAGCCTTATTACAAAAATGAGATCCACCATCACTAAGAATGGCTCTAGGTGTGCCAAACCGAGTGAATATGTTTTTCTTCAAGAATGCGGTCACACTTCTTGCCTCATTGTTAGGCAAAGCAATTGCCTCAACCCATTTGGACACATAGTCCACAGCTACCAAGATATATTTCATCCCATAAGAGCTCACAAATGGACCCATAAATTCGATGCCCCACACATCGAAGATTTCTATCTCCATCACAAAGTTCATAGGCATTTCATGCCTCTTGGAGATTGATCCTTGCCTTTGACATTGGTCACAAGCCTTGACCATTTGATTGGCATCATGGTAGATTGTCGGCCAATAGTAACCACATTCAAGTACCTTGGCCGCCGTTCGATTTCCCCCATGATGACCTCCAACCGGCGAGTCATGGCACGCTTTTAGAATAGGCATAACTTCTTCTTCGGGAACACATCTTCAAATGATGTTGTCGGCACAAACACGGAACAAGTAGGGCTCTTCCCAATAATATTGCCGACAATCTCTCAAGAACTTCTTCTTTTGATAAGACTCCAACCCCTCCGGGATAAGATCACTCACCAAATAGTTAGCAATGTCGGCATACCATGGAGCAAAAGTGCTAGATAGTGCCAAGATGTGTTCATCCGGGAATGCATCATTGATTTCAAGATTTCCTTTGGTCTCCCTGCTTCCTCAAGCCTTGATAAGTGATCCGCCACTTGATTTTGAGTTCCCTTGCGATCCTTGACCTCGAAGTCAAACTCTTGCAACAATAAAACCCATCGAATCAACCGCGGCTTTGCATCCTTCTTTGCCATAAGATAGCGAAGAGCAGCATGATCTGTGTACACTACCACCTTGGATCCCAACAAATAGGCCCGGAACTTCTCAAAGGCATAGACAATAGCAAGAAGCTCTTGTTCAGTCACCGTGTAATTCATTTGCGCCCCATTGAGTGTCTTGCTTGCATAATATACCGGGTGGAGAACCTTGTTGTGACGTTGACCAAGCATTGCTCCAATAGCTACACCAGTAGCGTCACACATGAGTTCGAAAGGAAGAGACCAATCGGGTGTGACAATAATAGGTGCCGTGGTGAGCCTTAGCTTCAATTCCTCAAAAGCTTTGAGGCATTTTTCATCAAACACAAATTTGGCGTCTTTCTCAAGGAGCTTGCACATAGGATTTGCAATTTTGGAAAAATCCTTAATGAACCGCCTATAAAATCCGGCATGCCCTAAGAAGCTTCGAACACCTTTTACGGAAGTGGGTGGAGGAAGCTTGGAAATAATCTCGATCTTAGCCCGGTCAACCTCAATGCCATGCTTTGAAATTTTATGCCCCAATACGATGCCTTCCTCCACCATGAAGTGGCATTTCTCCCAATTTAACACGAGGTTGGTTTCGTCACATCTCTTAAGCACTTGTCTAAGATTATTAAGACAATGCTCAAAAGAGTCACCTACTATTAAGAAGTCGTCCATGAAGACCTCTAGAAAGTCCTCCACCATGTCGGAGAAAATGGACATCATGCACCTTTGAAAAGTAGCCGGAGCATTGCACAAACCGAATGGCATCCGACTAAAGGCAAAAGTTCCATAGGGACAAGTGAATGTTGTTTTCTCTTGATCCTCCAATGCGATGATGATTTGGTTGTAGCCGGAATACCCGTCAAGGAAACAATAGAATGACCTTCCCGCTAGCCGATCAAGAATTTGATCAATAAAAGGCATAGGGAAATGGTCTTTGCATGTTGCACTATTGAGCTTCCGGTAATCCATGCACACTCTCCAACCGGTCACCGTTCTTGTTGGGATGAGCTCATTTTTATCATTTTCAATTACGGTCATGCCTCCCTTTTTTGGTACACATTGCACCGGGCTCACCCAAGAACTATCGGCAATAGGGTAGACCACCCCGACATCCAACCACTTGATGATTTCTTTCTTTACTACCTCTTGCATTGACGGGTTTAACCGTCGTTGATGCTCCACACTTGGCTTCGTGTCACTCTCCAATTGGATCTTGTGTTCACAAATTCCTGCGGGAATCCCTCGGATGTCCGCAATTGTCCATCCAATAGCTTGCCTATGATCCTTCAAGACTTCCAACAATTGCTCTACCTGCACATCATTCAACAAAGATGAAACAATTACGGGTAAAGTATCATTAGAGCCAAGAAATTTATACCTTAGGTGGGGGGGGAGTGGCTTGAGCTCTAGTTGTGGTGGCTCAATGATTGATGGCTTGGCGGGAGGTGTAGCCCTATTTTCCAAGTCAAGAGAAAGCTTTGCCGGAGTATAGGTGTAGGATCCAAGACCCTCCAATGCATTTACCGACTCCATGTACCCATCCATGTCCTCACCATCAAAGTTGACCAAAATAGCCGCCAATGCCTCACTAAGGCATTGTTCTTCCATTTTCATTTCGACGGCACTTTCTACCTCATCAACAACATCTATCACTGAAATGCCCGCATACTCATGGGGTAGCTTCATACCCTTGCTCGCTTGAAATGTGACTTCTTCATCATTCACCCGGAATTTAATTTCATTCCGCTCCGAATCCATGAGTGCCCTTCCCGTGGCTAGGAATGGTCTCCCCAAAATGATAGGGGTTTCTTTTATCAACTGCACAATCAAGAATTACAAATTCGGCGGGCAAATGAAACTTCCCCACTTTTTCAAGTACATCATCAACAATTCCTGCCGGGCGTTTGATTGACCGATCGGCCATTTGCAATCTCATACTAGTGGGCCTTGGCATCCCCAACCCTGCTTGCTTATATATGGCAAGAGGCATTAAGTTGATGCTAGCCCCATTATCACATAACGCTCTTGCAAAGTCACGGGCCCCGATGGTGCAAGGAATGGTGAAAGCTCCCGGGTCTTCTTTCTTTTGGATGTTGGTTGTGGCAATAATGGAGCTAACCCGGTGAGTCATGTTTACTACCTCATTCTTTGTGGTCTTCTTTTTGGTGATCAAATCTTTTAAATATTTAGCAAACCCCGGCATCTCTTGAAAGGCTTCCACAAAAGGAATATTCACCGTTAATTGCTTGAGGATGTCATAGAACTTCTCAAGTTTGCTATCATCAATCTTTCTTGCGAGCCTTTGAGGAAATGGGGGAGGAGGTCTAGGAATAGGTGGAAGAGCTTTTGGTGCCTCTTTCACTTTTTCCTTTACCTCTTGCCGGTTCTCTTTTTGCACTTGCAACTCTTCCGGACTCTTTTCAACCTCGACAACACTTGGCTCTTCAACCTCAACCCTTTGTTCGGACTCTTCTTCTTCAACCGTTTGTTCACCATCTCCGTGTAGCACTTTCCCACTCCCAGTAGTGATTTCCACGATGTGAGAAGTTGGACCACTCCCACTACCTCTTGGATTTGCAAACGTGTCACTAGGGAGTGTTCCTTTTTGTTTTGGATTTTGCTCTTTGGAGAGGTCTCTCATTTGCATCTCCAATTTTTGGATGGAGGTGGTATGAGATCCAACAACTTCGGTCATGTTCCTCATGGAAGCATCAGATTTTTCTTGATTTTGCAACACCCGCTCAAGCATAGCTTCCAACTTCGATTCACTAGAAGACCCTTGGTTCAAATATTGACCCTTTGGAGGAACATAAGGGTTTGAACTCCGGTTAGAAAAGTTGTTGTTGTTGTTCCAATTCCCTTGGTTTGAGCCGCCTTGGTCATGTCTCCATTGTTGGTTGCCTTGCCCTTGCGGGTTTGGCCTCCATTGACTTTGTTGCCCTTGACCCTGATAATGTTGTCTTTGATACCCTCCTTGAGGGTTGTTGATGTAGTTATCTTCTTCAAACTCTTCATTGGAGATGGGTTGCACATCCTCGACTACATTCACCTTTTTTGTTTGATTTTCCGTGAACATTTTTGTCAACACATTTACATTTATGGCCAACCCTGCAATTATTTGGTCCCTCTCTTGATTCTCCTTGATCAAGTTGGTCAAGGAAGGAGAACCATATGCAACTCCGCCCGAAGTATCCTTAGAATGCCAAGCTTGATTGTGTTTTGCCATCTTGTCATGTATTTGCGTAACTCTTGCAACAGACTTGTCCATAAACGATCCGTCCGCCGCATTCTTCGCTATAGCATGGTTCATAGGATCCAAACCCATATAGAATTTCTCTAGCAAGATGGAATCTGGGAAGCCATGATTTGGAGACCTCACCAAATATAATTTGATTCGATCCCATGCCTCATGTAAGTGTTCCCCTTGTTGTTGCTTGAAGAAATAAATCTTATCTCGAAGCTCAGATTTCTTGCTCTGTGGGAACCATTTTGCTAGAAATGCCCGGACAAGTTCAGGCTAAGACCGAATGGAATTTGGTGGCAAGTTTTGAAGCCACCTCCTTGCGTCTCCAGCTAGTGAGTACTTGAAGACCCTCAACCTTAGGGCATCATCTGAGGCATTGTTTTGCTTATGCATAGCACATACTCCCAAGAAGTTCCTAACATGTTGTGTTGGATCATCATCAGTAGAATTTCTGAAAAACCCCTCCGCTTTAAGCATTAGGATTAGACCATGATCCACTTTGAAAGTTGAGGCACCAACAGTCGGAGGTACAATAGCATTTGTATCATCAATGTACTCATCTATGTTCGAAAAAGGATTTTCTTCCATTTCTTCCTCGTAGTCAGACATGTTTTCCTATTAACACCAAGCAAAACAAGCAAAGTGTGATGGAATAGAATCAGACGTAAAGTAAAGCACACACTAATTAGTAATTTCAAAATCGTATTCCCTGGCAACGGCGCCAAAATTTGATACGCTCAAATTACACTTTTATAAATTGTGTAAGGCAGTCTATGTCAAATATAATAACCCAACAAGGTTGGGGTCGAATCCCACAGGGAATAGGTGTGAAAAGGTTACTAGAATAGTGTATTGCCCGACTAAAGTCGTAATCTATCCGGTTAATAGAAACAGGAGTGCTGATTAAAAGTGACAAGAGTATGAATTTAGTTTGTTTTTAAGTGATAACTAACTGGAATATTGAATAGGTAATTAATAAGATTAATGAAACCAAGGTTGTGTCCCCTTTAATGAAATGTAATGCTATCAGTATTAATATGATATATTTCTAATGGTCGGTCCTTTTGATATGCAATTGATGTCTAAGCAACTACCCAATATTTCCCAATAGTTGGATAGTATTTCCTCTTTATAATATTCCCAAATGTAAAAGAGTTGCAATTAATAACAATCAATATATGCCAAATAAAACCCACTTATCCCTAAGCGATTTTATTAAACAAGGTTTAAAGCCTTGAGTCTTTGATATTTACTTCTACCAAATTCTAACCCACTTTCCCAAGCAAAGTAGAATTTAATGGCACTTGTTAATGTTTGCAACCACCAACAATAAATGAAGTATGAGAAATAAATAAATATCAACCAACCATTATATATATATTCAATGTTAAACACCCATTAACATAACACCCATTTTGGGTCCACAACCCTAGTATTTAAAATTAGCCACTCATGCTACAATACAAAATCCAAAGAGTATTTAATGTCATAAAAGCTTACAAAGTAGAAAATCTTCACCCAAAAGCTTCCAAAAGTGAGGAATATTAATGTCTTGGAATGTAGTGCAAAGACTAGACAAGATGAGCCCACAAAGACATCATAAAACTATTTATAGTGGGCTCAAAATCGGGACAGAAAGCGGACAAAAATGCCCTTTCAGATTGATATGCGACCGCATTCGTGTCGCAGAGCACGTATGCGGTCCGCATCTTGATCTTCCTCACCACAGAATGGAACCCAAGTTGACAGGTCTTCATCGCACTAGTTGTGCGGATCGCATTGCAGAAATGCGATCGCATTTTGCGTCATATTTTCATCATTCAGTGACCTTCATGGTAGGTTTGCGGTTGACTCTGTTGCTCGCATGTTGGTTCTGCGGTCGCATAGTGGACCGCATTCTTGACTTGAAATCGGCCTAGAACTCTGTTTGTGTCTGCGATTTGGCGTCCACTCTGTGGCTCGCATGTCTGATCTGCGATCGCATAGTGAGTCGCAGACCAGCTTTCTTGCTATATTTTGCTCTTTTCTTGTCTTTTTTTCTTCCATTTCCATGTTCTTGGATCCTCAGTCTTTATGCACTGTAGAAACAACAAAACTACATAAGTAACGAAGATAATTGCATTAAAACAAGCTAAAATCTAAGCAATTAGTATTGAAATGTGCAGAAATTCTCTGGCACATCATTTACCACCCCGATAGAGGGATATAAGGGAGTTTTCCCGATTAAAGTGACATTATCCGAAATGGGATTATTTTCATTTATCTTATTAGAATCTCCACTTGGAATAGTTATTTGGTGTCCCAAGTCACCGGTTTATTAATAAAATCCCTAATCGGGGAAATTTGAATTTATTTTTAAAAGTCTGCAAAACCAGAAATTCTAGATAAGGAATTCTGTAAACCTGAGAGAATGTGTTAGGCATTCCCAGGTTTCGTGGTTCGAGCACGGTGGCTTAAACTATTAAAATTGGCCTATTATCCGATTTACTACATGTTTCGACCTATTGTGCATTTTTAGCTTTATAAACCGCTTTTATTTAGTTTAAAACCGCTTTTAGGAAGATTCAATGTTATTTAAAACACATTTTAAACCACACTACATGAAATGCACCCGCGGTTCGCGACACGTTCTATTTAAGATTGTCGAGAAATTGAAATTGGGTCACATGAAATGTACTCCCGGATTTTGTAATTAAAAATCACAACTACTTCACGGGAACCATACCTGTAGCTACGATTGAATTATTTATGGAACGCGCCTAAAGCAACTATGAAGGTTCAATTCTTTAAAAAAGCAACATTTGTGAGGGCCATGGTTGATTTAATTGATGGCACACCTCAATTTTTACAAGGATTAACTCTTCAATTAATTTTATGAGGGCCATGAGTTAAGGGGTTTTATGGCACATCTCAAGTTGATTTTAGCTAAAAGGGATTTGCATTTTATTTAATTAAGACTAGAGATACTAATTTTAAAGCTCAAACTAGGGAATCATTCAACTAAAAATGGGAAGGCTGGGCTTGGAATTATTATCTCTTGGAGGGATTGGGCCAACAATGGCCCATTAATCATTTAATTGACGGTGATTGGCAGCCTTGAAGCTATTTTTAGGCGAGAATCCATCCTCAAGAGAAAAGGACTCAGAAATGTTTCGTTAAGTCCAAATAGAACAACCCATATTAGGCTTATATGTAGCGGGCCTATTTTTGTAACTAGGCCTATCCACCTCTAACATTAACAACACTTGCATATTCACAACAACTATATCTCAGTTTGCTGCTTAATTAAAATAAAATCAGAACTTGAAAATCAAATTGCCATCCAGTTTGAAAGTTAACCACATGATTTGAAAGGTAAGAGAAGCATACACTTGAACCATGATTTATAAGGAAAAAAGAAAGCCTGGATTTGGGCTCAGGACCCAGGCCCAATGGCCTAGGTCCAGATTCATCTCATTGATCAAATTCATTTGGGCCTCAAATTCAGCCCTACTTTAAACAAAAATAGCACTTACTACCCTTACAGATTGGCTCACAACTTAGCCATTGTGCCACTATACTTACGAAAATGTTATGGCAGTCCTGCCAATAGTTTAAAACAAAATTAAAGCTTCACTTATTACAACTTTTCATATCAGAATACAACTTTCTTAAGAAAATCAGAACTACTACATGGTAATCCTATTGAATACATAAAATACTAATCTAACCACTAAACTATTACAATCCCCCATATGACCAATGAACACTGCCTCTCTTGGACATTGCTTATCCATCAAGGTTGTGCCTCTCATATGAACAATACCGGATTTCAGCATGTAAGGCCCCGTGAAAATTTTTGCTCAAAGCATAATACTCCATGGTGTCAAAATTCCGTATATATGTTGGGAATATGTAATATTTTACTGATTTTGTACTTAAAAATCAAGAGTCAAAATTTTTAAGGAAATTGCCACTTTGCGATCAAGAATGCGGTCGCAGATCAGGTATGCGGACCGCATTTCTGCCGCAGAGTGAAGCAGAAGAATTGTCAAAATTAATGTTGAAAATGCAGTCTATTATGCGATCGTATAATCAATATGCGGACTGCATAATCGTCGCACAAATTCCTCAAGGATTTGTGAAGGTAAGTTTTACGGTGCATAATGCGACCGCAAAACAGGAATGCGGACCGCATTCCTGTCGTAGACCCAGACAGACTCCTCAGAGTTTTGGGGCACTTCTGCGGTCCAATTTGCGGACCGCATTTCAATTCTGCGAATGCAGAATGCGACCGCAGATCCTGCTCGGGCTTCTATTTTTTAAAACTTTAAAACCCGACCCCTTTGTAATTAAACACGCCTACCCCTCATTTTTAACATTCTTCTGAACAAAATAAGAGAGAGGAAGAGAGGGTTCTTGAGAGAGAAGCGATTTTCATCAATTTGGTTCTTCAAAACTATCCGGGCCGGGAAAATTCAAGATAATTGCCCTCATCCCCATCCTTACAGGTAAAATCCCTAACCTTTTTCCTTAATTTTCAAGTTTAAACTAAACGGGGGAATTCATGCAGTGATTCTTGAAGTTAATGGTCGAAATTGTGCATGCATGTTTATTAAAACCTAAAATCTAGTAGGGGTAATTGGGTGGGAGCAAAGACTTGTGCAGAGAAGGGGTTAATAACCTAAATATGTTCGGGTAGTGATTTTGAACCTTGAATTCTAAGTTATTTGTATTAATTTGTACACAAGATTGGCATTGCTAGATTATTCGGTGAATTGAAAATAGAAGTTAAAAGGGAATTCAGCTCTAGGTATGTATGGCTAACCTTGACCTTGTAAAATCGCCTGGTTTGGTGTTCGAATGTTTGCTATGTGATATCTACGTGGCTTAATTGTGAAATTCGTGTGATTGGTATGTTTGTGAATGAGGCAACTGGAATAACTGTGATAATAACATCTGTGGCTTATTGTGGGCAATTATTGTTGTGACGTAAAACGCTTGTGAATTGTCGAATATGACGGAAATAGTATTGATGGTTATGGAGATACTTGTAAATTGTTGTTGTTACTTCTTAAGAAGTGTTGTTGTGATCTTTGTGA